CCTCCGACTTCAAAATGGCGGCCGCCACTGGGCGGCTTTTCCTGGCCGGTCGTCACGGGTGCCGTTGAACTAACGTCAGCTTGTCTCTCTCTTGAACCTGGATCCGACTAGGGGTTGGGAAGGGCAGTGGACGGCGCTGGGGGAGGCCTGACGAGGCAAGTGAGGGCGGGAGAAAGCAGTGGGACTTTGGATGGGGGAGGGAGCGTCCTCGGCCTTCCGGGGCAGCTGGGCTCCAACCCCGACCCGCTCTTTCCTGAGGACGTGTTCCCGTCGTGGCGGTTGTGACGGTGCTGGTCGTTCCTGGCAGGAGTGCTCAGCAAGTGATGCTTCCATGGGTGTTAAGCTCCCAGCTCTTCTGCGGCCGTCCGTGGGGCCCTGCCCCACGCTCTCCCTCCCTCCTTCCTGCTGTTTGCCTCCGGCCTTTCGGTCTCGGCGTTGCAGGAGTTAATCCCACGCCGGCTTTGGCTCCTTGGCCTCGTGGCTGCGGCGTTCTCAGCCTGCCTGCCCGGGGTCTTCCCGTTTTCTTGGAGTGAAGGACCCACGAGGCTACTGGGCACAAACTAGGCGACCTTTTGGTTAGTGACCCCAAAGACCTTTCAGGTGTTTGTACCACGCTTTGTTAACACTGTCTCGGCCTCTGTGCCCTCCCTCCATCTCCCTCGAGCGCTTCCACTATCGCTGCAGTTTCCCAAGTCCTCATTCTTTTTGACTTTGTACTACTGTACATGCTCTTGAGAAAACCAGCTCAAACTCTGGCGAGGCTGGCCTCCTGTGACCAGGCGAACCTGAGCTGTCATTTATGTTCATACCTTAGTTTTTGGTTTTACAACCCCTTTGAGCGAGTTATGAGACCGCTGCTCTCCCGGAATCGGTCAGGAAGAGACCCCACTCAGTGAACTCCCGGGCTAACCCATACTCCTTCCTTTTGTTTTGGATTGTGCATAGTTCCCCTTAGGTGTTATCAACATGCATGATCATTATTGAGAGAGCAATAGTGATAGATTTGTGAGATGAAATAGCGTAGGAAAAAAAATCACTGCCCTGAAAGAATTTATATCATGAGGATTCATTCCTTCATATTTATGTTGCTTTGAGCACTGTGCTTGGTATTGGAGATGATCACTTTTACTCTTCCTTTCTACATTCAGCATCGATTCAACAAATATGCTTTGTGCCAGGTAAAAAATAACTTTGCCTGGGAAACACGAAAAAACGTTATAGAGGAATAAATATTTGAATTGGGTCATGAAAAATCAAAAGAAATTTGCTAGACTCAAAAGGAGATCATTCCTGGATGCAATCCAGCGTATACTTAGGGGGAGTGGGAAAATAAATGTGCTTAAGCATTTGGTGCAAGGCTGATTGGTGAAGCAAGAGGTAGGTTGTGATCAGCATGTGAAGGATTTTGATTTCCAGCTAAGGACTTTAGATTTTATTTAGCTAGCAGGAAACTAGTGGATACTTCATGCAAAGAGGAGGCATGAGGATATTTGTTTTTTAGGATGATATCTCTGACAACTGTATGGAGGACGAACTGAGAACAGGAAAACTAGAGGAGAGGAAATTGGAAATTTTTCAGGTAAGGCAATGAGTGCCTTTATTGAGGGAGGGTAGTATAGGGTGTCAGAGACATTAAATGTCAAATAGGATTCAAACGGTAGCCACCAATTTGATGGTAAGAGATTAACTCTTTTTAGTCTGGGAGACTAAATGGTTGGTAATACCATTAAAATTCTCTCTGAGAAATGTACATAAAAATAGAATGGTGCCACCCTGCACTTTAGGAGTGGCAGAACACAATGCTTTACAGTCTAAAGCATTGATTTTAGAGTTTAGAGTCCAGAACTGTGCTATTACAGTAGCCACTAGCCACGTGTAGCTACTGAGCACTTGAAATGTGGTTAGTTTGAATTGAGATGTGTTGTAAAATATACACTGGATTTTGAAGACTGAATTTTGGATTATGAGAAACAATGTAAAACATCTCAATTTTTAGTAATGATTACAGGTTGAAATGATTTTGGATTTGTTGGATTAAATAAAATATATTAAAATTTCACTTGTTTCCTTTTACTTTTTAGTGTGGTTATGAAAAAGTGTAAAATTAAATTTTTGGCATGCATTATATTTCTGTTGACGGCTGTTGTAGTCTAGAGTAATGATGGGGGAATTAGGAAGGAGGTGGAATTCGAGCTGGGCCTTGAGATGATAATGATGAGCAGTGATGTCAGGGGAGTTTGCTGGCACCTTCCATTGCCATTTAAGGCATTTGGGATTTTTTTGTTTTGTTTTCCTCAAGCAGTAAAAAAAACCTTCAAAGATTTCTGACAGGGTGTAATGTGTGTAGGGATGTTTCTGAAGATTAATGTGGCAGTAACGTTTAGGTTGAAATAAAGGGAGGAGAAGCTGGAGGCAGAGAAATCCAAGTGTAAGGTAACGAATTCCTGCATTAAGGTACTGGCAGTGGGAATGGAAAGGGAATGATATGTCCAGGGCATTCTGAGGGAAGAATAATTAGGAATTGGTAACAGACTCTCCAAGAGGAAGTATAGGGAAGAATCAAACTTAGTTTCAAGCCTTGGTTACTTAGATAATAACTAATGAATTGATGTCACAGAATTATTAAACATAGTCAGGCAAAAAGAAATTTAGTTACAAAATGGAACTGGCAAAGTTGAGAAGAGGAAGTGGTCTGCTAAATACTCTATCTCCCTGCTTTCTGAATCTTCCTATCTAATCAATCATACACAGAATTACCCATAAGCCATCTTTCTACCAGGTAATGAATCTTAAAATGTTTCTCTGTTGAACTAGTTTCAAGGTTTCCAAGGCCCTACGTTATCTTGCACCTTTCTGTTCATTAGGACTTTTCTTTCATTTTTTGCTTATATGAAAGTGTGCCAAGCTAGGGTTTTTTTTATTGGTATTGTAAGTTTTTGTTTTGTGCCTTTGCTTATGTTATTCCTGTTTTGAATACCTTTTCTCATTATTTCTACCCAGGTCCTACCAGTCTTTAATCAATAATCATAGATCCCACTTCTATGATTCTCGATAACATAAGCTAATGTCAGTTTTTATAATCTTATTTCCTAAACTGCATATTTTGATCCCCTGATTATAATTTGATTTCTAATTATTTTTGTATTTTATTATTTTATCCCGGTTTGTTTTATATAAGCTTAAGATTCCTAAAATTATGCCAAGTTTCTTTTTTAAAAACGATCATATTTTACACTATTTGCTGCTCATGGTGTCTTAGGTTAAGACACAATTTAAGCACCATAGTTAGAAACAGAAGTAAATCATTATACCACATACACAAGGCTCTTTTATTTTTCAGATTTGTAAAGAACTCTTCCTCTGAATTCATGGTGTTTCATATATACAGCTGAGATATCAGTAAGTAATGAATGTCTAATAAGGATATAGCTTTGTTGTATTATGTTTATGCAATTGTAGTAAAAATATCTTATTGAAATCTGGGTCTGTCTGCAAAAAAGTTCTAATATGAATGCATTCAGTTCTAGGGTGCAAGATACTTTTTATTTCAACTTCACAATCCAAATGAAGAAACTGGGAGTTAGCCTGGATTTGAGTAGAAAAATAATTTCTCTTAGGCCATAGATATAATTGGGGCACAGGAAGCTTTTTGCTTCCTACATATTCCTAGATATTTTCCAAAAATATATATATATATATTCTACATCTTAGTGTGGGAGTCTGAAGGAAAGAAAGGGGCAGACAAAGCAAGTAAATAAATAGAAATTATAGAGAGCATTAAGTATTTTGAGGAAAATACAGTGATGTCATAGAGTGTAATTAGAGTGGAGAAGGACTTTAGGGTGGTCAGAGAATGTCTCTGAAATAAATTGGAGGCAGGGGAAATATACATATTAGAGACATTGGTGACAGTGGAGATAGAAAGAAATTTGAGTAATATAATGGGTTGGTACCAAACCATATGACTGGAATGGGGCAGGAGGAGGACATGGATACAGGAGGAATGGAGATAGGAGGAGGACATGGATACTGAGAAGTGGTCAGTGGATTAGAGATACCAACCGTGAGATCAAAGGATTTTTGCGGTGGGAATACTAAAGTAAGCAAGGTGGTAGTGAGAGAGTGAGATGTTTGAAGGTAAAATTTTGAAAAGTGGTGCAGGTGCTGTAGTGATAAGGTCTAGGGAGTAATCTTGGTGTTGGGGGGTAGCTGAAGTGAAATGAAGAAGATTATCGGAGTTGAGGAAGTCAAGGAACAGAGAGGTCAATATTGAAGTTACTGAGAGGAAGACTGAGTGAGAAGCTTAAGTCCTCAATGAATGAGTTCAGGTTAATACATGCCCGCAGTGAGGAGGAAATATGGAAGGCTAACCGTGAACTAGCTGGGGTATGAGCTATGATGGGACTGGAGTATTTGAAAGAGGAAGAAGAAGACATGGTTTGGAAGCTGCAGTGAGGAGCAAGGAACACATATGTCCTTCTTTTGAGATACAGGGGTACAAGAGGATTTTTAAAAGCCTCTGGAGAAGGCTGCAGGAGAAATGGTATCATTAGGGAACAGTCAAGTTTCTGTGAAGACAAGCAGGTGAAGAGAAGCTTCAGAGAAGAGATTGAAGTTGTAGGTGAGTATAATCAAAGAGCATACTGAAAGGATTTGGGAAGGAGAAGAGGGTGGGGTGAGGTCCATCTAGGAGATCCATTATCATCAGTGGTAATGAATAACCTTGGAGCCTTGGATTTTTGGCTGTGACCGAGGAAAACATGGATGGAAGATGTGGTGAGATTAGCCCCCTGTTAGCCTGTTATGAAAAGTGGACAGTCAGTTTACCTTAGTTTGTTGATGATCTTGGGTGGATTGTGAGAGATCATCTGGTAAATCAGTGGCCTTCGTTCCTACTTGTGTAGTTAGCCATCACAGAATAAGAAAAAGGAGGAACAAATTCACCTTGAAAGATGAGTTCATTAATTCAGTAAATATTTATTTATTAAGGAAGTGGGATGTGGTAGTCTCTGTTCTAGGTAATTTACACATTATTTGAAGTCCTCCAGGAGCTTTTTTACATATATTATTAATACTAATGTTTTATAGACTGGGATACATAGGTGAGGCAAGGTTAATTAACTTGCCCCAAATCACACAGGAGTATATTCAAATCTGGGTCTGTCTGATTCCAGAGTCTGCTACTTTTCATTAAACCATTCTGGGGAGCTACTGAAGGACTTATTGTAAAGAAGAGAGTGTAAGATTATGTTTGAACTTTTAAACTTGGCAATGAGGAATGGGTCTTTTAGAATGTTTGCTTTCCATGATTATGGAATTTCCGTGCACTTAAAAATTTGATATAGTTTTAGTTAATTCATCTATTATATATATTAGACTGTGCTTTTATGTTTAACTGTTTTTATTTCTTTTGGAAAAACCTGTTAGATTGTTGTTACTGGACCCAAAAGATGACATCTATTATCAAATTAACTACCCTCTCTGGGGTCCAAGAAGAGTCTGCCCTTTGCTATCTTCTCCAAGTCGATGAGTTTAGATTTTTATTGGACTGTGGCTGGGATGAGCACTTTTCTATGGATATTATAGATTCCCTGAGGAAGTAAGTTATTTTTAGTATTTCTAGGCTTTTATTAAATTAACTTCTATTTTCTATACTGTAATACCATTTTGATGTTACATACTGTTGTTTTTTTTTGCTTATAGTAAAAGACTTAGTTTTACTGATACCAAAAAGCTAAAAAGTGACCTGTAAGATTTTGATTGACTTTTAAGCTTTGTTTATTGAAATTCAGCAAAATCTTAATTGTTATTATCCCTATATAGGGATAGTGTTTTTTTTTGCTTATAGTAAAAGACTTAGTTTTACTTATACCAAAAAGCTAAAAAGTGACCTGTAAGATTTTGATTGACTTTTAAGCTTTGTTTATTGAAATTCAGCAAAATCTTAATTGTTATTTGGTTAATGGATCTCAGTAGACATTTTTACACCCTAATTTTAAGAAAGAGCAAGAGTATATAAGAGTATATGAGGAGAGGAAACACCTTTCTTTTTTGTTGTTATTTTGTATTTCTTTTTGGCGCCTGGCTGGAATAGGGAAGGAAACACCTTTCATGTGAAAGTTCTGAAGTCATATCACTTTAGCTTACTTTCCATATCTTTTGATACTAAATGTTGTGAATTGGTTCTCAGACTAATGACTGTGAGATACAAAAAGATCCTAATCCATCAAAAAAAAAATTTAGTTATGTTTGTAGTATTATGCTAATTATAGAAGGAAAGAGGACTTAAATATTTAAAAAACTTAGAACTTAAAGCCAAAAAACACAATCCAAACCATCTCGTTAATTTCTTTTATCAATGAGAACATATGCTTCCCTGGTTAATTGATGTTTTACCATAGTGAATATGCCATCAGTCACCATGCTATAAAGCTGAGGCAAAAATCCGCATAGCCATTTAAATATCCTTTCCCTAACAATTTCTGAAATTCCAAGCTGAGTTTTGAACTTAAGTTAGTAGTATGCAAGGTAGCCATTCAAAATCAATTTACATGTGGTGTCTACTGGTTTTTTCTCCCTTGTTTTCTTTCTTAAATGTGTTTAGACACCATATATTTAGGTGTGACTTATACCATAATTTTGATAGCTATGCAGAACAGGAGTGGTAGTAGTTAAAATTCATAGGTATTGGGCTGGCCCGGTGGCGCACTGGAGAGTGCGCCGCTTGGGAGTGCGGCAGTGCTCCCACCGATGTTCGGATCCCATGTGGAGACCGGTTCCCGCTCACTGGCTGAGCGCGGTGCGGGCGCAACACCAAGGGTTGCAATCCCGTTACCGGTCAGTAAAAAAGACAAAAAGGAAAAAAAAAATTCATAGGTATCATAATTTTAGCTCTTAGTTTCGCTCTTTTACCCCAGCATAGTCTTCAGTCCAGAATTGGTGAATAATTTTGAATATCCTAAATTCAAATAATTTTGAGTAGCCTTTGCTCTTAAAAACAAGATCTGAGTGTGTAGTCAATTTTGGTTGTGCTCTCCTAGGCATGTTCACCAGATCGATGCAGTGTTATTGTCCCACCCCGATCCTCTCCATCTTGGTGCCCTTCCATATGCTGTCGGAAAGTTGGGTCTGAACTGTGCTATCTATGCAACCATTCCTGTTTATAAAATGGGACAGATGTTCATGTATGATCTTTATCAGGTAATTTAAGCAATTTTTAAAAAATTTTTTATGCTCCTTCAGTGATTATTTTTTAACCTTTTGTGTTATTCTTTTAGTCTCGCCACAATACAGAAGATTTTACACTCTTTACCTTGGATGATGTGGATGCAGCCTTTGATAAAATACAGCAGCTAAAATTCTCTCAGATTGTGAATTTGAAAGGTAAGATGTCTCTAGTAGTAAATAGTTGGATTAATAAGATTTAACCTACTGAAAAATACTAAGGAGAATTTGTAGTAAAAATTATACGTACTATAGTTTGAAGAATAAAAAATTAGCATATTCTGGGCTGGCCCATGGCTCACTTGGGAGAGTGTGGTGCTGATAACACCAAGGCCCCGGGTTCGGATCCCTATATAGGGATAGCGGTTAGCTCAAGTGGACAGCGTGGTGCTGACAACACCAAGTCAAGGGTTAAGATCCCCTTATCAGCCATCTTTATATAGGGATTTAAAAAAAAAAAATTAGCATATTCTGCCTTGATATGGAACTCTGAACTTCCATTTGAATTTTAAAATATTCTAGACTAAATACTAACAAAATATTAATAGCACAGGCCTTTTTCGTATTTAGTGTGAGAAAGTCTTATTTTTTGGTGGCTCTCCAGTGCGGGGATCTGAACCCGTGACCTTGGGGTTGTAAGGCTGCAGTGTAATCAACTGAGCTAACTGGCCAGCCCTAAGAAAAACTTATTTAGTGTTTAATGTGTATAATGAGCAAAAGTAATGTGGTCAGATCCTCCTCCTTGAAGCTTACAGTTAGATTGAGGAGACAAAATAGAAAGCTCAGGTGGCTAACTGTGGTGATTGAAGTGAAATGAAGTGCTGTGGCAGCAGAGTAGAAAATGACCAAATTCTAGAGTTGGACATTGAATAGTTTATTATTTTATTAGGTCAGAAAGTCATATTAAATCTATATTTATTATCTAGAGAGAATTGTATTAGGTATTTTCAGAAAAATGAACCCTGGCATTGAAAAAAATGGTGCAATAATGGACTCTAAAGATTTAGCCAAGAAGTAACAATGGTCTCAGCAGTTTTGTATGTACTGTACTTCTGTAGAATAAGTTCTTTACCATAATAAGATTTGAGTTGTTATTCTGTCTGTTTAGAGGTTAGCAAAAATGGAAACACTTGATAATTGTGAGTATAATATAAATATTTAAAATTTATTAGGTTATACTAAGTAATTTAATAGTGTACTGGCTTTTAAATTCAGTTTATATGCACAAATACCTCTGCAAGAATATACAATAAAATGGCAAGAGTGTTTGTCCCCAGTGAGGGAATGGAGTGGGTGGGGGACAGGAGAGTGAGACTTGCTTTTCACTGTATGCATTTTTACTTTTGAATTTTGTATCATCGCATATATTACCTATTACAATAGCTTAGAAATAAGTAACCTTTCTTTAGGTTTGTAAAAGAAATCTGAGTATTGTCATTATCTTGTTGACATAGGTAAAGGACATGGCTTGTCTATCACACCTCTGCCAGCTGGTCATATGATAGGTGGAACAATATGGAAAATAGTCAAAGATGGAGAAGAAGAAATTGTTTATGCAGTTGACTTCAACCACAAGAGGGAGATGTAGGTATATCAAGACAAAAACTAAAGGAAATGCAACTGGTATTTCATTCTTTGGAGGGAAAATTAGTAACAGTTTTTTTAACCAGAAGTCTAGAACAATTTAAAAGCATCTGATAGTAGCTGTTTTTGGATTACTTAGTTATTTGCATTGTAAGGGGAAAAGTTGATATTTAAAATTTACATTTAAGTATCCACTATACAAAACAGATATCTCCCTGGAGATGTTGAAAAAGAGATGAATTTTTGTATATGAAATTGTACTTTATATGCTCTTGGCCTACATAACAGAACTTTGTGGGTGTTTTTTGTTTGTTTTGTGAAGTCAGTAATTGCTATACAACTATATTTAAAGTAAGATTCCCTTTAAAAGGGGACACAATAGTTATAGTTTTATATACTTCATTTGGTACTCAGCATTACTATAAAGTTATTTGGTATTTAGTCTCACACAGGCTGCTTTTGTTATATCTGTACATTAAGTTCAAAGCATTTTGTATAAGATTATTGTAACCTCAAGATCATTACATTAAGAAATATTTAAGACTAATTAAATTTTAGTTTTGTCATCATAGAGTAATGAGGAGAGGAGGGATATTTGACTAAATGGTATTGGAGAATTTAACCATTTTGGGAAAAAATCAATTTGTGTCTTTTTTACCATGTAGCAAAATAAATTTCAGATGGATTAAAATTAGATAGAAAATGAAGCAATATTGGTGATCATGATCTCTGATTTGGAAAAGACTTTGTAATCATGAAGATAATGAACTAACTTACAAACAAAAGGTCTGATGATTTGATTACATACAGGTTCAAAATGTCTGAAACAATAAATTGAATTTAAAAACCAATAAACTAAGGAAAATATTTGAAGCAAGTTGCCTAAAGACTTACATATATACATGACTGGGTATTAGTCAATCACAAATATATCAGTTGCAAATGGACAAAAGTTATAAAGTCAGAAAAGATAAAATTTAAATGATGATTTTTTTATTAGATGCCATTAAGATTATTATTTTTTAAAATTTTCTGAAACACTGCTTTTTAAACAATTTTTTATTGAAAGATATTGACTGTATGTATTTATGGGGTACATTTATATTTCAGTACATGTATACAATGTGTGATGATCTAATCAGGGTAATTACCATATTCATCATTGCAAAACTTAATCATTTCTTTGTGATGTGAACATTTGATCTCTCTTCAAGTCGTTTGATAATATGCAGTAATCATTGTTAATTATAGATTCCTGGGTTGACTATACATCAGTAGAACTTATTTTTCCTATCTAGCTGTAATTTTATATCCATTAACCAGCATCTCACTCTCCCCCTTACCCCCTAAAATTATTTTTAAATGGTGATATTCTTCTGAGAAGCATGTAGTGAGTTGGTCAGTCTTTGTGATTGAACATTTCTGGAAAAGGGAGAGCTTTCTGGAAAGCCATTTAGTCATACTGTAGATTCCAGTAAATACATTTCTAGGAGTGTGTCCTAAAGAAACTATCAGAAATGCAATTGTGACTTTTTATAAAAATGTTCTTTGAAAGATTACTTGTATTTGTAATGGCAAAAAAGTGACCTACTATCAATAAAAGGAAATGATCAAATAAATAGTACAGACACAGTAGAATGTTTTTACAATTGTTAAAAATTAGGTATAGAAAAAAATTCTAATGTCATGACTATAGCTAATAGTAATGTATATTTCTAAATAGCTAGAAAAGAGGATCTTGAATGTACTCACCATAAGAAAAAAGATAAATGTTAGGTGATAGATATGCTATCTACCTAAGTGAATCATTGTACAATATATGCATGTATTGAAACAGCACACACTATATGCCACAAATGTACAATTAAAAAATTTTTTTAAGTTTTTAATTTTTATTTATTTATTTATTTTTTCCTTTTTGTCTTTGTTCGTGACCGGCAACGGATCGCAACCCTCAGTGTCGCGCCCGTACCGGACCGGGACCGGCCACGGGATCGCAACCCTCGCTGTTGCCCCCGCCCCTCGCTCAGCCAGTGAGCGGCCGGTCTGTATGTGGGATCCGAACCCTCGGTGGGAGCGCCACCGCGCTTCCCAAGTGACGCACTATAGCAGTGCGCCACCGGGCCAGCCCAAAAAATTTTTTAAAGTTTTAATGTCATGGGGAAAAAACCAGGATATGCCGAACTGAGTATATAGAAGGGTACATTGGATATCAGCTTTGTAAAATATGTATGTATGTGCACAGAAAAATTTTTATATGCTTAGAAGGATGTATACCAAAATATATCAGTTATCTCTAAGTGATGGTACTCTGGAAGATTTTTATTTTCCTCCTTCCTTTTTTTTGAATTTACCAGATTTTCTTATTGATGAACATGTATTCTTTTATAGTTAAAAGGGGAAAAATCTTATAAAAGAAATTGCTCATTTTTTAAGGAAGAGAAGCTATTGTTTATTTGAAATGATATAAAATATTTTTTCTTAAACTTTGTTATAGCCACTTAAATGGATGTTCCCTGGAAATGCTAAGCAGACCCTCCCTGCTTATCACAGATTCATTTAATGCTACATATGTGCAGCCTAGAAGAAAACAGAGAGATGAGCAACTTCTGAGTATGTGTTATATAATATCCTTTAAAAAGTGCTGTGGAAGTGTGTGGTAGTATGAATTACTGTTTCTTCTGTTTAGCATTTTTCTTGGTCATAAGAGATTGCCTAACTTTAATATTTTGAAAAAATATTATGTGACCATATCAGTATTTTGTATAAGAAGATGCCCTTTGAGTTTAACTTTTGTGGAATAAATGTAAAGATTGGCTTCTCTTTGCCATTCAGCATGTAGCTAGCACTCCCTGGCACTCACTGGTATGTGTCTATATATAAAGACCTCGTACAAATCTACTAGACAAACACGGTCTAAAAGAAAAGTGAACAAAAGTGATAAATGAGGATGCAAATAGTCCGCTAATTTTGGCATTAGGTGTTTTACACTCTAATCTCGTAGTCTTGGTTCTAAAGAGGTACCTATGGGCCATTGCTGCTTGCTTCTGCTTTGACTCAAGCTGCTTCACCCTATATTCTTTTTTCATAAGCTATATAGGATTTCAGCAGGGAAATCTGGATTCCACTTTTAAACATGTTTGCAACCACTGACTTAGTCAACTTTAAAAAGTGTAACTTATATACTGTTACACTAGTTTTAAGAAGCTGTTCAATTTTTGGTTTTTTGTTTGTTGTTGCTAGTTTGGTTCTATCAAATATTTCCAAACAGAGTTTTATCTAGAGCAAGGAAATCTATTTATAAAGATGCTTTTATTGGAAGGGAATATGATCTATTTTTTATTTTACAAGCATACATACATACACAATATGTATTTTATATATAAAATTGTGTGTGTGTGTGTGTGTGTGTGTGTGTGTGTGTGTATACATGTGTATATATAAATTTGGGAATTAACCATAACGAAGTTCACTGTGGTGGACAAGTGAGACTGGGTGGCCTGGAAACCCCAGACTGGTTTCATTTGGCCTAGTCATTCAGTTTTCCCAGTAATACAAATATAATTTCCTATATGTATTATGATGTGAAAAAGGTTGTGAAGCACTGATTTATCTTTTTTCAATGAAAAAAAATTTGTTAATCACATTGCTTTTTAATTCCTATGAAGATGTATTTAACAGAATCAAAAGTGGTTATAATGACCTCAAACAAAGTCCTTTCACTTTGTGGCTGGCCTAGTAATTGCTTATTTATAAATTACAGTCTTTATAGTAAAAACAGGGAGATAACTTTATCTTTAATTTTATAGCCAAGTATTGTTATGTTCTATAGGGATTTTACATTCTTTTTTTCTAGCAAATGTCCTGGAAACACTTCGAGGTGATGGAAATGTATTAATAGCAGTGGACACTGCAGGCAGAGTTTTGGAACTTGCTCAACTTCTTGATCAGATTTGGAGAACTAAAGATGCAGGATTGGGTGTTTACTCATTGGCACTCCTAAATAATGTCAGTTATAATGTGGTGGAGTTTTCTAAGTCTCAGGTTTGTTTTAATGTTATCACTTTTAATACAGAAGTTTGTTACAGTGATTGGGCTTATGGAATGTAGTTTCTTAATTGTCCTTTGGGTTTTATTTTTCTGTTGAAGAGGTTGTTAATAATAGCTAAACATTACCCATTTACTGTTTGTGTGCTTTACATGTATTCATTTAATCCTTATATACCCTATGAAGTAGGTTCTATTTTTATCCCAAACTGTAAAATAGGGACAAAATAGAACCTACCTCGTAAGATATAAATGTTAGAATTCATTGTTCTCTTTCTTTTGAGTAAGCTCTTTCCTTTGAAATAGCAATCTCTAGGGGTAAAATATTCATTTAGAACCTGTACAGAGTGAAGTATGTAAGTGAAACATAATGCAAGATTGGATTTTTAGGGATGAAAATTAGGATGGGAGGATCTAATGGGAGTTGGAGCAGAAAATAAGCTGCGTGTCAAAATGGAACAAATTTAAGCAACCAGTAGGGGAAAAGACAAAACAAGATAGAACTTGAATTCCTTGACTGTGGTAGGGTACACTGAAGTTATAATACGTTATTTTCTAATTACTGTCATCTTTTCCTCCATATTAGGTAGAATGGATGAGTGATAAATTGATGAGATGTTTTGAAGACAAAAGAAATAATCCATTTCAGTTTCGCCATCTCTCTTTATGCCATGGTCTTTCTGACTTGGCTCGAGTACCTAGCCCCAAAGTTGTACTTGCCAGCCAACCTGACCTGGAATGTGGATTTTCAAGGGATCTCTTTATTCAGTGGTGTCAGGACCCTAAAAACTCAGTCATTCTAACTTACAGAACTACTCCTGGGACTTTAGCACGTTTCCTAATTGATAATCCTTCTGAAAAAATTACAGAAATAGAGGTAAGAGCTTGTATATGAACTTTATCGTATCTGTTTTGGGGATACATTATACATGATATATAAAAATCAGTGAGCAAAAATAAAACTTGAAGTTGTTTCAGAATTTTTATCAGAATAACAGAAAAGAGCCTTGAGTAGCACAAATTTTAGAAACCTTTAAGTTGAAATTCTCATTCTTGAATTCTTTCATGGTTCCTGGAACCATACCCAGAGGTATCCATACACATCGTATTCTCATTATCGCTGAAAAGTTCATCTTTCCTGCTTTTTCCTTAATTGAAATATGGCTGTTTCCTAATGACATTCTTTTTCCTGTAGCCCTCTTAAATAGATAACTCTTTTTTTTCTTCATGATTCATGTACTTTGGCTGGGGTAGGTGTCCTTGTTCAAGCCATTTCTCTTCCCGTTGTAGTTCATGCCTTCAGACTTGATGATATGCTAACCCCTCCTTGTTTCTGACATTTGCTGATCTGTTGGTCATTTGCTGTCATTCACGGGTGACTTTAGACCCTGGTTCTCACCCTTCCTGTCCATTGATACTCAGGATTTCATTCTTGATTACTTTAGCATCCATTTGTGTAATCTATTCCTTGGTCCTCTTGGTTCTTTGACACCTTGTTTCTTAATGATCTTTTCCTCCACTCTCCCTCAGCCATCCATTCCCACTATCATGCTGTCCACTCCCATGGTCATATCCTTAACCTTGTTATGACCAAACAGTCTCCAGATCTCTACCTCAGGTATCCCACTTTGATCTTACAGTTGACTTTCTCTTGCACTGCAATGCCAACAACTCTTTGGTCCCATTGGGACTTTTAATTCATAAACCTCACCTTTTACTATCCATCAACCCTCTAGCTTAGAGTCAGTGGTCCATCATTTATCTTAATTTTGCATACATCTTTAACTCTCTAACCCTTCTTTCTTTTTATTTTACTCACCTGGAAGAGCCTTGACCCTAGTCAGATCATTTGTTTAGTCTGTGTCTGTACTCAAGCAGGTTTATGTTACTGGAGTTTAAAGACTACTATGTGTACAAATTTCCCTTACCATTCATGACCTCACATCTCAAAAGGGCACCTGAGACTAGCACTCAGTGTTCTGTAGGATATTCCCTTTCTCACTTGTATTAGTCTGTTTTTTGTTAATTATAACAGAATACCTGAAACTGAGTAATTTATAAAAAAAAAAAAAGCGAAATTTATTTCCTACAGTTTTCGAGGCTGGGAAGTCCACAGTCCAGGGGGTGCATCTGGTGAGGGCCTCGTTCTGGGTAAGAACTCTCTACAGGGTCCTGTGGTGATAAAAGGTATCACAGGGCAACAACCAGCATGAGCAAGAGTTCTCCCATGTGTTCTCCTCATAAAGCCATCATAACCCACCCATGACAACCCATTAAACCATCAATCCATTCACGAGGGCACAGACTCTGTGATCCAATCACCTCTTTTTTTTTCCTTTTTGTCTTTTTTCGTGTCCGGCAACGGATCGCAACCCTCAGTGTCGCGCCCGTACCGGACTGGGGACTGGGGACCGGCAACGGGATCGCAACCCTCGGCGCTGCGCCCGCCCCTCGCTCAGCCAGTGAGCGGGAACCGGTCTGTATGTTGGATCCGAACCCTCAGCGGGAGCGCCGCCGTGCTCCCAAGCGGCGCACTGTAGCAGTGCGCCACCGGGCCAGCCCTCCAATCACCTCTTAAAGGCCCACCTCCCACCACCAAATTGGGGGTTAAGTTACAACATGAAGTTGGGAGACATTCAAACTACAACATCACTCTATAGTAAGGTAATTTTATATCTTCTTTCTCTTCAGACATCCCACAACTCACTCTGAGCTTTCATCCATAGTACATGACTTCGTCTCAAACTTAACAAAATAGAAGTAGTCAGACAGGAATTCCTTTATCTTTCCACCACTAAATATATTAACCTGTTTCTGCATCTGTGTGTGCTGCCTTATCACCTGTCACAGGAGCAAGACAATTAGCTAAATGTCCAATATGCCAAAAGATCATTTTGCTTAATAACCACCAACCCATCTATCAATTTTCCAAAACTAGTGTCATTAACTCTAAAGTTTATAGCAATTAATACTGACTAGCAAGTCTTTCCTGCTTTTGTACTTGACTGGCTCCTTGTTATTACAGTCTCAGTTTAAAGGTTACTTCCTTACGTAGACCTTTGACTACAGATCTGAAATAACTACCTAGTTAGTTGCCAACCCAGGGGATATATTCCTGTTATATTGTCTTCCTTTCCTGCTATCAATTAGAATACAAGTTCCATGAGAAAATGGACCTTGTTTTTTTAATATCCCTAGCACCCAGAACAGTGCCTGATACATTGGAGGTCCTCAATAAATTTGTTGGTTGAATTCATGAATGACCAAAAGAGTGAATATCTAGTACACCAGGTTTCTGATCATGTTAGACAAGAGTTTACAATGAATGGTATTTTTTCATCTATGTTTATTGCCATCCTGAGTCAGGTCTTCCTCATTTAGAAAGAGCAAAAATGGTAAATGAATAAGGATTAATAGGTTGAAGTAGATTTGGATTAGGAAAAGGATTTATTTGGAAGCAATACAGTGAAAGAGTAGGAAGAAAAAATCTTAGGGTTGATTATTCGAGAAATCTGTTTCTGAATATAGACATTAATTTTAGATATTTTAAATGAAAAAATGGACAGTAAAATTTATTATAGCAACAGGCATAATCTAAATCATGGGAGTAAATGTTTCGTAAAGTTTATCTGTGGGTGAGACAGACATCTATATGAGTTGCTAGTAGTCTGATTAAAAAAAATGACACTATTTTCTAAATGAAACTTATTTTCAAGTAACCTACTAGGCAAATGTGGGATGCCAGATATAAACATGTAAGTCACTTATTTGTTCTGTACATTAGAATCAGCTGATTTTGGCTTAATTTTTTTTGTTACTTTTTATTTTGAAATAATTTCAAACTTAAACAAGAAAGTTGCAAACATAGTACACCCAGATTCCCCAATTGTCAACATTTTACTGGATTTGCTTTATCGCTTTTTATATACACATAGACATAATATTAGGTACTGTTTTCTTGAACCATTTGAAAGGAAATTGCAGGTGTTCTTTCATTACCTCTAAATGCTGCAGTGTGTATTACCTAAAAACAAGGACACTCTACTGCAAAACTATATAGTACATCCATTGAAATAAGGAAATAAACATTTCTACCATACTACCATTTCATCCACTCATCCCGTTCAACTTTTGCTGATTGCCACAACAATGTCCTTTATAATTACTCTTTCCATTTTTGTCTAGGCTGACATCCCAGGTTACATGTTGCATTTAGTTGTCATGATAGTTGACACTTTTGAAGCATATATGTTCTGAGTTTTTTTCCCCTATTGATATACCTATGTTATTTTTTTTTAAAGAAGAAATGGACCAAATCATTCACATATTCTGACGCTTGTTTTTTCACCACAAAATGCTTTTATATGAATTTTGTCCTTTTTGATATGTTGATCATCTTTTTCACCTGAGTCTGTCTTGAACAGTGTAAGTAGATGTAGATGTACCTTACATAGTACTTGTTATATTATATATATTCAAATGCTTTTAAATAAGTTCTTTTTAGTAATTTTATAATAACACACTGTATACGTGCACTGTAATTTTTATAATCCAGTGGTTCCCAAAAGTATGGTGTGAGGACCCTTGCAGGTTCCTGAGAATTTTTTAGGGAGTCCACAAGGTCCAAACTATTTTTCATTATTAAGATATTATTTGCCTTTTCACAGTGCCTACATCTATGCTGATGAGTAAAAGCAATAGTACATGAAGTGCTGGCACCTTGGCATAAATCAAGACAGTGGCACCAAACTCTATCAGTGGTCACTGCATTTTTCACTACCACGCATTTGTAGTTTTAAAAAAAAAAAAAACAGTCCCACTTAAGAATGTCCTTGGCAAAACAGTAATAGTTATTAATATTATTAAGTCATTTTAGTAAAAGGTTCTTTTAATAATTTGGGTGACAAGATGGGAAGTATCCATAAAGCACTTGTGTTGCATGCTAAAAGTACGATGGTTGTCTCCAAGAAAAACACTTGTACAGTTCTTTGAGTTGTGAGTTAAACTCGTCATTCTTTTCTTGGAATACCATTTTTTGTGAAATAATAACATGGTTATTCAGACTTGGTGGTTTGGCACCCAATTAATTTTCTCAAAAATTTGTAAATTGAGCCTGTTCCTCTAAGGAAAACACTTGACAGCATTTGTTGCTTAAATCTGATAAAATTCTAACATTCAAGTGAAAATTAGAATTATGGGAAGCTTCTACCTGTCACTGTGAGATTGACAGCTTAAACTTAAAAGACTTCTGATGAGATTGGTGGTGATATTTGTAATTGTGATTTTAAAATAACTGTCAACATGTGTAAGATCTGTGTTACTTGGTGAACCAGTATTTTCCGTATAACCAATGCATGATGTTACAAAACAATTGTGTGAATAAAAGATCCATTTAAGGTGCAAGATACATGAATAAATTTTAATATAACAGAGTACAGAAATTTTATTGGTATATTTTGACATTTCGCATTATAACTAACCTTTAAGAAACTACCACTTTTTAGAGTTTTAATGTAGTATCAAAGAATATTCATGAAAAGGCTTGTAAAATATTTTTCCCTTTCTGACCGTATATCTGTGGGAAGCTGGATTTTCTTCATATACTTTAACCAAAACAACGTATTGCAAGAGATTGAATGCAGAAGCATGTATGAGAATCTGTTGAGCTAGACTTTAAAGAGATTTGGAAAACTGTAAAATAATGCCTTATTTTCCACTATTTTATTTTTTGCTTTGGAAAATATAATTATTTTTTGTACAAATATGTTAATATGTAATGTTTTTATTATCTTTTAATAAAACAGATAATTTTTTAAAATTTCTCAGTTTTAGTTTCTGATGTAAATATTGATAAATATAATCCACAAAAAAAAAGTTCTTTGGGATTCTCTAGTTTTTGAGAGTCTAAGACAGTCCTGAGATAAAAGTATGAAAATATTGGCTAGAGTGCAGTGTTCTAATACCAAGGTCAAATGTTCAATCTGATCCCTATACTGGCCAGCTGCCAAAAAACAAAGCAAAGTGTGAGAACTACTGATTTAATCATTCCATATTGATGGATTTTAAAGTTTTCAGTTTTTTACTACTACAAATACATTGCTTCAGTGTACTTTTTTTTCACATTTGTGTGGTTGTTTCAGTGGGATAAATTTCTAGAAGTAGAAACATTGTACCAAATGACAGGTACATTTTAATTTTTAAGCATTAGCAAATTGCCTTCTAACATAGTTGTGCTAATTTCCCCATAGACAGTAGATGAAGGTACCTTTTCCTGATATAGTAATCAGTATTGCCAATCTCATATATTAAACAGATTGTATTACATTTTTTATTTTTTGCATTTTTCAAAAATCATTAGTAAAATTAGATATCTTTTCATGGCTGCTATTGTCTTATTTGTAAATTGCCTTTATATATGTATTTTGTCCTTTTTGGAGTGTTGATCGTCTTTTTCTTGACCTGAACCCTTTACCTTGGTGTTATAACACTACGCTCTAACCACCCGAGCTAACCGGCCAACCCTGATCATCTTTCTTAACTGATTTGGAAAAAGCAGCTTCTGGTAGTCATAGTGCTGCAAATATTTTTCTGTTTTTTTTTTTTTTAATTTTATGAGATTTATAATGTCAAACGGAGATTTTCTTTATTTTTTCATGTCACCATATTTAATCATCTTTTACTTTATGGCTTTTGGGTTTTGTGTTGTATATATGTAGGCCTCACCTATGCCAAATTATATAAAGTGGCCAATCTGTTCAATATATGGGCAGTGCTCTTCAGCTTCAATTTCCTTGTCTGAAAAATGGGGATAAGAATTAAATGAGGTTGTGTTTTTAAGGCTCTCAGCCTAGACCTGTACTCATACTATATGTGCTTTAAGTGGTTGCTACTGCTATTATTATTATGCGATAATAGTGTAGATATTGAACTCTAGGGGTTAAGCTGCTGCAGCAATCTGGGTGTTGGGGAATAGAGGCCTGGATTCTCAGAGAGGAGTGTGAGTGGATTTGGGGGTGAGACATAGACAATTATAAGTGGTTAGGGAGAGAATTTTAAAAGAAAAAAAAGTTCTTTTGTTTTTTAAAATTTTAACTAGAATTCTCTTTGATCTTGTAAGTAAAAATGGGAAGATAGATGTCTTAATAGTACATTGAAATAAAGGCTTATGGAGGACCTAATGATTTTGTATCTCAGTCTTCTTGGTGATGTACAAATGGAGAGTCATCTGCTTTCTTTGAGCAGGAGGAAATAACTGGGAGTCTTAACGACATCAGGGGAGTTCTGAGATTTATAAGTGTTAGGATTGGTAAAGGAAATTACAGAAATTAAGAAAAAGAAGTATTGAGGGCCGGCCTGGTGGCGCACTCGGTAGAGTGCGGTGCTGGGGAGCGTGGCAGCGCTCCCGCCGAGGGTTCAGATCCCATATAGAGACTGGTCCGCTCACTGGTTGAGCGCGGTGCGGGTGCAACACCAAGGGTTGCGATCCCATTGCCGGTCGCGGTACGGGCGCGACACCGAGGGTTGTGATACCGTTACTGGTCACAAAAAAAGACAAAAAGAAAAACAAAAAAAGAAGTATTGAAAAGAGTGCAGGGCCAGGTTGCAACAGTACTCGTTATAGCCACTAAGATCATTAATGACCTGTCTAGGGGCCTTTCACTAGTCCACGTAGTGTGTTTTAAAGAGCACTCTTTAGTGGTTATGAAAAATATAATATATGCAGTCATCTAAGTGATATATGAAATTGCATTGGCTTCGGATCAAATGTACATTTAAATCTTAAAATACATAAGGAGTTTAAATGTTATGCCGCTCACTGGTTAGTTATATGTGTTATATAATATTAGCTCACGTTTTAATACTTCTAATTAGAGACTTATTATTTAGACCAGAGGATTTCTTAGTGCCAGAACTTCAAGCTACTGAAGAAGAAAAAAGCAAATTAGAATCTGGTTTGACAAACGGAGATGAACCCATGGATCAGGATTTATCTGATGTTCCTACGAAGTGTATTTCTACAACAGAATCTATTGAAATAAAGTAAGTGCTTTTGTTCATTTTGGAAGTAGATTATAAGATAAATTTTCAAACGTATATAATTTACATTGCTTCAATAGTAAAATTTCTGAATATTTTCTAGTAAGTTTGTGCTCTATGAAAAGACTTATGAAATATGGTGGTGTTTTCTCTTCATTAATGATATTTGAATGCCAAAGTAATTGAATTGGTGGTGGGAACATTAAATTGTACATTTATATGAAGAAACATTTGTAGCCTTTTAAATAAGTCTATTAGCAGGTGAAAGAGAATAGTGCAACTTACAAGTTTACTTTTTCTGAGTAATTGCTTGTTTCATATATGCCTTGACTTAAACATCTCTAGTAGCCCTTATGTCTAGAAAATGCTGTTGTATTCTGAAGTTAATCTTTTTTCCCCTTTCTACTTAGTAAAGTTAATAATACCAGTAAGTGATCATTTTGGAATTTTTTTTTAAGTCATCAGAGAACAAAGAGGTTTATTTGTCCAGTGACATTTAGTATATATTCTTGGGTATAGCCGAGATCTAAGTAATACATATTAACACTATGACACGTGTTATTTTATGATTTATATATTTTATATTTTTATATTTCTTTCCTGATGATAAAAACCATTAAAAACTTAGTTTTAGAATTAACTTAAGGGTTTGAATCCCGTTATCAGCCAGCGGCCAAAAAAAAAAAAAAAAAAAAAGAATTGACTTATCAAAAAGGTAAGCTTGAATAATCATGTCTAATTGCAGAGCCAGGGTTACTTACATAGACTATGAAGGACGCTCTGATGGGGATTCCATTAAAAAAATCATTAATCAAATGAAACCACGACAGCTGATCATTGTCCATGGCCCACCAGAGGCCAGTCAAGATCTGGCAGAGTGCTGCCGCGCGTTTGGTGGGAAAGATATTAAAGTGTACATGCCAAAGCTCCATGAGACAGTTGATGCCACTAGTGAAACGCACATCTACCAGGTAAATATGCTGGCAGTTGGGCCACATAGAAGTAGGTACTTTTTGTTGCATATTAGGACAGATACATTAGGAATACAGGGGTGAGTATACAGATGTGGTCCCCTTCCCTAGCAGATCTGATAGTCTGTGGGGCGTAGAACAAGGAAATGGCATTTATCACATTATTATACCGCTGAGAAAGGAAGTATAGGATGTATGAGAACATAAAAAGGGGGAACCCAACCCAAATTTAGAGGTTTAGAGAAGGTTTCCTAGAAGTGATAACTAAGCTGAATCCTAACAGGTGTTTAGGTGGGTTGTTAGGACAGATAGAATGGGAAAGAGAGGAGAAAAGAGTGTTCCGGGCAGAGGAAACAATATTTGCAAAAGTATAGTGGTGAGGGTAATAATGAGTGTTTACTAATTCAAAAGTTTTATAAGGGCCGGCCCGGTGGCACACTGGAGAGTGCGCCGCTTAGGAGCGCGGCGGCGCTCCCGCCGAGGGTTCAGATCCCATGTGGAGACCGGTTCCGCTCACTGGCTGAGTGCGGTGCGGGCGCAACACCGAGGGTTGCGATCCCATTGCCGGTCAGTAAAAAAGACAAAAAGGAAAAAAAAAAGTTTTATAAGAATTCACAGATGTCAAGGTTCTACTCCTAATTGAAACAAATACAAGACAGGTACAAAAAACTACAGACTATAGAAAATGATGTACAGAAACTAGCACGACAGAGATGAGATTAACTCTTATCTGGTAGTAGAAGATGGTGTCAATTTAAAGCAGGAGCGGGGCCGGCCAAGTGGCGCACTGCTACAGTACGCCGCTTGGGAGTGCAGCAGCGCTCCCGCCGAGGGTTCAGATCCCACATACAGACCGGCCGCTCACTGGCTGAGCGAGGTGTGGGTGCAACACCGAGGGTTGCGATCCCGTTGCCGGTCCCGGTCCGGTATGGGCGCGACACTGAGGGTTGCGATCCGTTGCCGATCACGAAAAAAGACAAAAAGGAAAAAAAAAAAAAAAAAGCAGGAGTGATGTCTATATCTGGATGAAATGGATTGGAATTTACCAGGCATAAAAATTATTCTGGCCAGAACAAGAGGCAGCAACAGTCCAAGAATATTGGAGGTGTGAAACTGCATGGTATTTTCAGGAAAGTACACCAAGTAGTAGAGGATGAGACTTATCAGTGGTTCTCAGTGTTGGCTCCACATAAGAACCATCTGGGGAGCATTGAGGGAGTCAGAGGGACTCAGTGCACTGGTCTTAATCTCACCAGTTATATTAGAAACTCTGGAGGTGAGGCCCTGGCATAATTTTTTTTTTTATTAATTGCCATGTGATTCCAATGTTCAGTCAGGGTTAGGAACCTCTGCTTTGGGAAGTAGACAGGGGCCCTAATGGTCTTATATGTAATTAGGTCATTACAAGTCATTGTGAAGAACAGATGAGTGAAAGGTTTTCAAATTTTGATCATATTTCCAGAGTTAGAAAATGATAATAATAGGTTATATTTAATCTGCTAATTTATTCTCTGTGGGTTTTATTTTTTCTCCCTCCCCTTTGCATGCCTAGGTGAGATTAAAAGACTCGCTTGTCAGCTCCCTTCAGTTTTGTAAAGCAAAAGATGCTGAATTAGCTTGGATAGATGGTGTCTTAGACATGAGAGTTTCCAAAGTAGACACAGGAGTTATTTTAGAAGAAGGAGAACTGAAGGATGATGGAGAAGACTCAGAAATGCAAGTGGACGCTCCTTCAGATTCTAGCGTTATAGCGCAGCAAAAGGCCATGAAAAGTCTGTTTGGAGATGATGAGAAGGAAACGGGTGAAGAGAGTGAGATCATTCCTACACTGGAACCCTTGCCACCTCATGAGGTAAAAAAAAATTTTTTTTAAATGCTTTTTTGATCTCGTCCTTAATTCATCATCCTTCCTTTTATGTTTTTAGCCATTTAAAATATGTGTCATATGTAGAATGATTTCAGAGTGAGATCATTCCTACACTGGAACCCTTGCCACCTCATGAGGTAAAAAAAAATTTTTTTTTAATGCTTTTTTGATCTCGTCCTTAATTCATCATCCTTCCTTTTATGTTTTTAGCCATTTAAAATATGTGTCATATGTAGAATGATTTCAGAGTTTTTAAAAAAGATTACTCAAGACTGTCTTATGTGTCTGTGAGTGAACCGATTCTGTACAGCTAGGGAATGATAAGTTAAAGGAAACTTTAGCAAATCTTTTAAGGTACATGGTTTTTTCATGATTTGTTTTTTCAGTATGGTTTTTAAATATTAAAATTGATTGGAAGCAGGTAGGTGATCCTCACAATCAGGAGAGTTATAGTTTTCTAAGAACATCATACTCTGGACTCTATTTTTGCATGTTGTCAATTCAGTTCCAATCAGTTTTGGTTTTGATATAGTTAGAAATCTTTTATTAAGTATAGTATAATTCTAGTCTAGGTTTTAGATGTTCTCAAGAGGTATCTAGTTAATTAGCAAAGATTTTAGGTAATTAAAAGTATTAAAACTTTTAAGAGTTTTACATACATGTCAGGTAATGTCTTTAGCCCTGCTATAAAATTAAGAATAGAGAGACAACCTCAGTCATTGGATTCCCTTCTAGTACTACTCTTGAAATTGGGAGAAGGAATTAGAATCTTTTTTTTTGTCCCCTGTGTTAAGGCTAGTGCTTGTCAAGACATTTTCAAAGTAGCAGCATTAGGCAAGAACCACTTCCTTTCAGATTCTAAAACCTGTAGCATCCATTGCTTTCACTATGAGGGAGGAAGAAAAGTGCAAATGGGCTTAAAGAAGAGTTATCTTCTGAACTATGCAAATAACTGGGATCTGGAAAATGAATTTTTGGTTCAGTTCTGCCTACTGGCACTCTAGTCGACCCCCTTAGACAAGTGGGTGAGTGAAGAGCATAACCTTACCAACCATCTCTGTTATTATGAGGCATGACTAATCAAATTGATTGTGAAACATTCAGAAAATAAAGGGCCTTGTACTGTTAAATAATGAGGTAAAACTCAGAATAACAACCTGGAATGTGATTTACAGTCTTAAAATGATCTGCCAGAGGACTTCAGGGAATAATAGAAAATATCTTAGATCATGTGGTGTTTCACTTTATTCAGTACAACTGTGTGTCTCGTGTTTTATTTGAAGTTTTTCTTTCCCCTTTGACCTTATCTAAGGTTCCTGGACATCAGTCAGTTTTTATGAATGAACCAAGACTATCAGACTTCAAACAAGTTCTTTTACGGGAGGGGATTCAAGCTGAATTTGTAGGAGGTGTACTTGTTTGCAACAATCAAGTAGCAGTCCGTAGAGTAAGTGTGTTTTTAAAAAGGGCTGAATTGATCACATTTTGAATTCTGTAATTCTTCATTGGTAATTTCACAGAACCAAAGATCAGTAATTTATACTTATAATGATGACTTTGAAGTCTTGTAAAAGTAACTCTCAAAGGAATGATACATAATTTTATTGTAATTTTTTATTGCTTGAATCCTCTGACAATTGTGTCTATGTTAAATTCATGACTTGAATATTATATCCATATTCTATGAATCAGAGAAACCTATTCCCTGACTAATCGTAATGTATTTAATATATTTAGGTTATTATGTCTGCATATTAATGAATAGAAAATATACTAAAGACCTTTTTTTAACTTGGTTTCTAGACGGAAACTGGACGCATCGGATTAGAAGGCTGCCTTTGTCAAGATTTTTATAGGATAAGAGACCTTTTATATGAACAGTATGCCATTGTGTAAAGGACATGGTGTCAAAAAATATCTGCTTGACCTTTCTAAGAAAGAAGGATTCTTATATTCTAAGCTTTTGCTCTTTTGTTTTATAACATACAAAAGGAATTGCCAGAAAAACTTACATGTATTAGATTTTTTAAAATGTAAATAGAGACCATTTTGCTAATGTTCAAATGAGCATTCTACCTTTCAGCTTTCAGAGTGATAGAGGTCCTACCAAGTGTACAGGCCTGAGAATTGAAGGTGATTGGTTTCCTTTACAGACTCATTATTCTCGAAGGGCTTTATACTTAAGAAAACAATGCAACTTAGCAAACCAGTTCATGGCCTTAGAGAAACATGTTTGCATGAGTTCTTGCAGACTGTTTCTTATATTTTCTAGAATGAAAAGTGGGAATAATTTAGAAAAGATGTGCTACAAAAAAAAATGATAGAACAGTTTTTTGAAACTTATGTATTTAAACAACAAAAATAAAGGTACATGCTATGCCTCTTCTTTTGAACTCTAATATGCAATTGTTTTCATGTGGGTCATATCTGCTTCATGCCTATATTTCCCAGTGATTCACTCTAGTGTGAGGTAGTATACATTTGGTTCAGAAATCAATTTTTATGTCTCTCATTTCCTGTTTTATCAAGATTTTGTTGTTCCATTTGAATTATAACACCATCATTTGACTATACATAATTCAAGAGAACTTGATGTGTTATTAGTCTTAAGGGTTCTGCATACATTTTAGACACATCTTAACTATCAGCTAGGTTACTGTATTGGAAACTGTTTAGTGCTCTATTTTTAAGAAAACAAATGTTGAACCTCACATTTTTATAAGGTAATAGCATAATTAAAAGGTATAAACATTTTCATCTCTTAGGCTTGCTGTCTTTTGAGGTAATTGCAGCAGTGGTTGGATTTTGTACGTATTACTGCAAAAATAATATTGAAGTTGGCTTAGGTCATCTTTTCTGTGTTCATGTCTTTCTTGTGGCTAGAGGCACTAATATAGTATAAACCACTTGTGTTCAAGAGAAAAAACTGAATATATGCAATTTTCATTGAACTTAAGCGATGAAAATCATGTCACTCTATTGCAATCTGTTGATGCTTTCTTAGGAAGTAGCTTAATCGTGGCAGACCTTGATGTTTATTTCTTAAGTATTTAAGTCCTCTTTACACTTCGTGTTTTTAAAAGGATTAAAATCATGTCACTCTATTGCAATCTGTTGATGCTTTCTTAGGAAGTAGCTTAATCGTGGCATACCTTGATGTTTATTTCTTAAGTATTTAAGTCCTCTTTACACTTCGTGTTTTTAAAAGGATCAGTCTTGTTTAACCTATATGGAACTGTGTATAATACATCCCAGTGATAATCATACTAGAATTAATATTTCCTTCTATTTCAAGTGCTTTCAAAGCTTCTATTGCGGATTATAGTACTAATGCAAAGTTTACAGCCTTCTGATACTGAAAACCAGTTATACAAAACAATGCTGCAGAGGATGAATATAAAGAGTATGTTTTCTTTTTAGTGCTGTGAAAAAAATTTCACTTAAAGTCATTACTGTGTAGAGTAAGCCTATAATTCTATTTCTATTCCAGGGGAAAGAAAGTCTGCATTTCTTTCATGGTTTAAAGCATCTGGTTATACATATTACATTGTAATATCAATAATGAAAAATCGTTTCTTGTCTAACCTTTTTATTGTCCTATGAACAGGAATTAAAATTTGAAGTACTGCTTTGAAGATGGCTGTGCTAAAAAATGTCAGTGCAAGAGCAATACTTTTACCTGTTTCTAGATGACAATATTACCGAAATTTTAAAAATGAAGACCTTAGTTTTTATCCTCAGTTACTTCAGAAAAATAAGTTTTAAAAACGACTGTAAGTCGTAAACTCAGAGGAACTTCCCAAGGAACTTTGTTTAGAAGCAAGAATAAATACAACATGTGGAATATCAGCTATTGGCAAATAATTTGGCTAAAAAGAAATTTTATTGTAGAATTTGTTGTAGTGGGATTATAAATGTCAGATATCATTGCAGACATTTCTCTATTTTCCCAAATCAGTAGGTGCCCTGAAACAGAAGTAAGGAAATCAATTTTCTAAGAAGGGCTTTTTGCCTTTTTTTTTTTTTTTTTTTTAATTAGATACAATTCACATACCATTAAATTAGCTTTTAAAGTGTACAACTCATTGGTTTTGGTTTATTTACAGAGTTTTGTAACCATTACTGCTGTGTAATTCCAGAGCATTTCCATCACCCCAGAAAGAAACCCTGTACCCACTAGCAGTCGCTCCTCATTCTCCTTTCTCCCCAGCTCCTGGCAGCCATTAATCTGTCTCTATGAATTTGTCTTTTCTCAGCATTTCATAAAAATGGAATTATACAACATGTGGTCTTTCATGTCTGACTTCTTTCACTCAGCATAATGTTTTCAAGGTTCACTGATGTTGTATCAGTATTCTTTTTTTGGCTGAATAATGAGTATTTCATTGTATGGATATACCACATTTTGTTTATCCGTTCCTCAGTTGATGGACATTTGGGTTATTTCCAGTTTTGGGCTATTGTGAAGAATGCTATTTTGAACATTCATGTACAAGTTTTTTCATATGAATATGTTTTCAGTTTTCTTAGGTATAGTGCTGGCTGGTTATTCAGTCGGTTAGAGTGCTGCCTTGTAACACCAAGGTCAAGGGTTCTGATCCCAATATCAGCCAGCCAGCAAAAAAATAAAATCAATTTTCTCAGGTATATAACTGAGAATAGAATTGCTGGATCATATGGTAACTCTGTTTAACCTCTTGAGGAGCTACCAGACTGTTTTCCCAAGTGGCTGCACCATTTTACGTTCCCACCAGCGTGTATATGAGTGTTCTGTTTTTTCCACATCCTTGACAATATTTGTTATTCTTCGTCTTTTTTTATTTTAGCCATTGTAGTATGTGTGAAGAGGTATCTCATTGAGGTTTCGATTTGCATTTGCCTAATGACTAATGATGTTGAGTATCTTTTCATGTGCTTATTGGCTGTTTTGTATATCTTCTTTGGAGTAATGTCTGTTCAAATCCTTTGTCCATCTTTAAATTGCTTTATCTTTTTACTGTTGAGTTATGAGTTTTTTTAAAATGTATATTCTGGTTACTAAACTGTTTTATATACGATTTTGCAAATATTTTATCCCATTCTGTAGTTTGTCTTATCACTTTGATAATGTACTTTGAAGAACAAAACTTTTTAATTTTAGTGAAGTCCAGTTTATCTTTTTTTTTTCCTTTGCTTACTTGTGCTGTTGGTGTCATATTTTAGAACCCATTGCTTCATCCAAAGTCAAGAAGATTTACACCTGTTTGTTTTTTTTTTTCAAGAGTTTTATAGTTTCATCTCTTACAGTTAGGTCTTTGGTCTGTATTCAATTAATTTTTATATGTGGTGTGACATAGGGGTTTAATTTTATTCTTTTGCATGTGGATGTCCAGTTATCTCAACAACCTGTATTGAAAAAACCGTTTCCCCATTTAATTGTCCTGCCACCCTTGTTGAAAACTGTTTGCCCATAAATGTATAGATTTGTTCTTGGACTCTCAATTCTATTTCATTGATCTATATAGCTATCTTTATGCTAGTACCACACTGAATTGATTATTGTAGCTTTGTAGTGAGTTCTAAAATCCAGCAGTGTGAGTTCTCCAACTTTGTTGTCTTTCAATATTGTTTTAGCTGTTCTAGGTTCCTTACATTTTCATATGAGTTTTAGAATTAACTTACCAATTTCTGCAAAACAGCTCACTCACTTTTAATATATAAAAAAAAAGGCAGTTGAAATTTACAACTCAAAGTCTTAGAATGTTATGGCTAAAAGGGACTGTAGAACTCATCTAGTTCAACCTACTTATTTTAGTATTGAATGAACAGGCCAGTGGAACAGAAGGGATTTACTTGAGATCCAAATAGCTGGTTAAAGGCAGAGTTGGGATTGGAGCCCAGCCTATAGAATCCAGCACTGTCATCTTCTATACTTTTTTTTGGTTGTAAGGTTTTAGAGTTTTATCACAAGCTTATCATCCTTTAAAATATTGATGAACTGATTATTGTTTAAGTCAAAAGATATAAGTAGTGGTTAGTAATTCAGTGATTGAGAGGTTGATTGTTTTGTTTTAGTGGTAACTACGGAATGAACGTAGAATGAATGTGTAAGTGAAGCTGCAGTGGAACTAGAGAAGGAACATTTACATCTGCCCATCTGGGCAGGTTCCAAGGAAAGGTGGTATTTTTCCCCCCTCTTTTGCTTTTCTCTCACTTTAACCACTTCAATTGTGTTTATGGGAAAATACCAAAAATTACCAAAATAAATAAAAAACCCAGCACTTTGATGGAAGTGAGGGTATCTATGTTGCTTCTTCCTTGCTTCTATCTCTCTTCTTCCCACCACCACACACACATGCATACACAGCTCTGTTTTTTGGTGCTTTTCACTAAGGCCCATTTTGAACAAAATAGAAGTTTGGAGAGTTTTAAGTCTCTCCTCATTGTAGTGAAAGAGAACCAAAAGTATATGTGCCTTTTTTGTGAAATTTTTAATGGATTCCATGGATCCTACTCAAAATTTTTGATACTGAGTAACAATCTCAAGTAGAGAATATATATACAAAGGATTCATATGGATTTACTACCTTACTTTCTGAGGCTATGTTGACTTTAATATCCAGTTTATTTTATGTGTTTTGTTTCTTGTTTCCCTGACAGAATTGTTATGTTAAAAGGAAACTACTAGGCCGGCCCGGTGGCGCACTGGATAGTGCCCCGCTTGGGAAGCGCAGCGGCGCTCCCGCCCGAGGGTTCGGATCCCACANACAAAAAAAAAAAAAAAAAAAAAGGAAACTACTGATTGTACATTCAAAACTAGGAAGGAAGTGAAGTCCTTCAAACAAATCACTGTCGGAAACTTATTCCGATGGTGCTGCTGCTGCCCTTGTTCTAAATATTTCTGGAATACTCACTTCTCTTCAGATCCATTTACCAAGCTTATCAGCATTTTTAACTATTAAGCAGAACTTCTTATCTACATTATTGCTCATTAAGAAGAGCTTCACATTTATTTAAACTATTCTTTTAAATACTTTTACCTAAGATAATGAAATAATTAAGCAAAGATTTTTCTAGTAGTATAAAAACCAATGTAATAAATTCCTAATAGCTCAAAGACCGCTTGTCTTTATTTTATTTTTAAAATTTTTATTTTGAAATAACTTTAACATTTCCTAATATGTTGTAAACTCTTAGGAATATATTGTGGTCTTGGCCCAACATGACATTACCACTTGACTCTAAATGATCAAGAAAGAAAAAGAGAAGTAAAAAGTTAAAAATCCCTTCCTCTAAGGACAAACACTTGCTACCTTAGGTAATTTTTTTATATTAAAAGATTATCTAATATCAAACTCTAAAATAAAAGTGGTATACCAAAAACTATAAAGATACTATATATTTCCAACCTTACCCTTAG